CAACTACATGGTGGCTAATGCTAAAACAACAGGCATACAATGCTCCAGTTATATTGCCACTCCATACCCCCCCACTGGGTAACTAGCATTCACACGCCAATAGGTGGCAATAAAAATAGCAGTATACGTGCACAACATACAATAACAAGTTTTTTTCATAATCCATGCAACCATAATGTTGTTGTACAGATAATGGGATGAATTTCTTCCCATGAGAAACTCCTGACAATCCTCTCCTTGGGTGCAAGCTATTCCAGAGAGAAGAGCGTACATAGAGAATGCACATTTTTGGCCCCCTCCCACTGTATTTTCAGTAGATAGGAACCTTCATCCAGCATTCATTGTTCATGTGGAATGAGTAGACAGGATCTCTCTTGAGATAGATGGTGGTGTTGATACCAGGTTCTGAACCGTTGCAAAGTTTTAGACGTGATACTGTTTTGAATTGCACTCAGAAACATATAGGTAGGTGTTATATTGGAGTAGTGAATCTGTCCTATAAGCTATAGCTGCTGCATTCTGCACTAGTTGGAGCTTCTGGGTACTCTTTAAGGACAGCTTCTTTTAAAACAAATTACAGTCTTCTGTATGGGAGGTAAGAGCATGAGTAACCACCTAATTGCTCCCTGTTCTAGTAAGGCCATAATTGGTATACCATCCAAAGATATGCAAAGGGCAAAACACTTTCCTGGCATGATTTCCACCTGTTTTTCCAGCACATGCTATGAGTTCAGAAGGACACCCAAATAGTGAACCTGCTCTCCACCAGGAAGCACACCTCTTTGAGAGCCAAATATGGTATAACTACAGAATAAGAAAGCTTTTGAATAAATGTCTTGTTTGGAATAACTTTAAGCCCTATCCAAAGCTTGACAGCCTACAAACACCAGCTCAGGACTTCTACTCTATTCCCCTTTTGATGAAGTTATACCACTGGTTATTATCCACATAGATCTCCCTGAACTGGTAAATTATCTCTCCCGTGGGTTTCATTTAGAGGTTAAGTAGAATAGAGGAAAGAACTGAACCATATGACACACCATATTTGAGCACTCATAGGATAGACTAGACCCGTTCACTCAGAAAGGAGTAGAACCATCATAAAATGGGGCCTCCAACCTTTCAGCTTTGTAGGTGGGTCAGGAGAACAGTCTGTCTACAGCTGTTTATCAAAAACTGTTTAGAGTCCCATGAGAGTGGTTGATGGTGGTTATACTCCCACCATTGAAGTGCCGTGACAAGTCATCCATGAGGTGGTTTCAGTTCTGACTGCCAGGGGTCTTGGTAGTCTGCTTCTTCCAGGGTTTTTTGTAATTTTTGCCCCAGCACTTTATCCTCCATTCTTCCCCACAAAGGGGAGATTGGATATAAAGCAATAGTTGCTTAATAATAGTGGATTCAGGGCAGGTCTTTTGAGGAGGGGATGCACCTTTGAGGGAGATGGGCAGCATATAAATTTAATAATGAATAAATAAATAAACCTGAATGTTTTAAAGGCTACTGGCATTTCCCCCTCCCTCAGAGAAATGTAAACTATTGGCTGGGTCCACCTCCCTGCCTTCTCCTCAGCTGCTTTGACTAACCAGAACAGGTATACAGTGCACAAATGGTGGAGCCAAGATCACAGAGAATCTGTTAGTTTCCTTGAGTTCCACAGCCAATATTGCAAGACATTACTGCTGCCATCTCATTAGATCGTGTACATGCAGCTTCCAACTTAGAGCAGGTATGAGCAATTTTATCTGTGAAATGATCAGCCAGATGATTAGAGCTTGCACTGATTAGGTCTTCTGGTCCATCTATCCCAAGGAGTGGGTCACCTTGAACAGCGTACAGTAATTGTCTGACATTCCACAAATGAAGTAAGGGCAGAAAAGTAGATTTTCTTGCTTCCTTCATTGCATCAATCAAGTAGGTTTGTATTTGAGCTCTTTATCTGGTCATTTTTTGTCTTCTGCTAGTGTTGCTTTTCTCCTTTCTTGTTCTTATATGGTCTTTGTGGTTAAAACTTTCTTAACTTTCATTGCATCTTCCTCTTTTTTTTCTTTCTTCTTTTTCCTATCTCTTCTTTCTTGCACTTCTAAGACCAAACATTCCAGTAATCATTCTGATACTCCATCATCATCTCTACTGTTTCTATGCCAGTCATATAGCTTTCTATACTGACTGAAAGGAATTCAGATGTTAGTTGCAGTAGCTCCTACACTAGCTCCTGGTTTGGCAGCAGCTTCCAAAATGAGCTAAACTTTGGATGTCATGCAGTCTTCCAGACAATGGCACTGCTTCTCATTCCCCCAATGGAACTGAGGCTCCATGGGAGCTAGATGGTCATCTCTTGTAAAATGGGGCTTCCAGCTCTCTGTTCTCTTTTTTCCCCTTTTTGGTGTCTTTTAGCTAAATACACTTCTTTCCAACTTTAATTCAGTCCAACAGTTTTCTCTTTACTTCCTTCTCTCTTTCTGTTCCTTCCGAAGCACAGCTTGCCTGCATCTCTTTAAGTTGAATACCAAGGGTACACCTGTGAACCATCATAATGGATTGTTGCAACTGGAGATACCCAGGTTCAAATCCCCACCCTACTTACTGCATGATTTTAGGTCTATTATTCTCTCTCAGCCCAAACCACATCAGGATTTTAAGCAACGGAAAGTGATACTTCAGTAAGCAATCACATGATCAGTTCACAACAGTTGATGCATGGTTTCAATTTAAGTATGTTTGCTGCCTTGAGTTGAGACATACATATATATAGACAGGAATAATAACAACAACAGCACAAACATCTGCCTATCCCAGGTTCTTTGGAAGGACTTGATAGGTGGATAAAAATGCCAAATCCAGTCTAAACATCTGGTTGACTCTGCGACCAACCATAATAATAATAATATGCTCAGGGATGACCTTGGTTTACATAAGTCTGTGAAGTCTGTATATTGGGAATATTATTTGTATACCGAATTTCTAAACAGCAACAGTGACAATAGATTAATCTCACACCTGAAGATTAATAGTTAAAAAAAAATAATGAATAAAAGAGATGGAGAAACCAGCTTGTAGGAGGAAAATCCCCGTCTCATTTTTTTTCTCCATGCTAACTATTAGCACAGTGTTTTTGAAATGCCAGAGAATTGTTATTGCATGTTAGATACACATGACTACTTAAGACAGTTGCAGAAATAACCATGAAGGTTCGTGAAAAGATAAAGCTGCAACATTGATTTAATGGATTGGTTTCAGGCTTTGTTATGCCTGGAGCAGGCTGTTAAAATAAATTGCAACTAACTTCAGTTCCAGTTAAATCGTTTAGTATGATTAATATCCAAATATGATGAAGTTTAGGATCTGCCCCTTTGGACGCACTCCAATTCCTGTCTGTAACTACAGTATTGAGCAGTACTTAAAGGTACATTGCAGAAAGTTAATATCAGTTGAAGCTGGTATTGTTCTGAATAATTGGGATTTAGTTCATCATAGTTATTTTGGCTGAAGCTGATGGCCAGAAATGCTGAGCAAATTACTTTGGTCAGTATCAAGTCAGTAATACTGTATCTGAGTTTCAAAAAGTAACATAACCATGCAGCCTATAACAGAGATGGCAGCACTTTAAAGTAAAAAACGTGGTTCAGAGCACACAGCTGTGCAGCCCTAGCTATTATATAGCAATTTGGAATCTAATAGCACTTTTGCATAGTGCTTGAGAGATTATTTGCATTACTTAAGACAATATTTCTTTAGTGAAATATGCATTGTGTTCTAATGAAAGAAAGTAGGGAAAGGAAAATGCTGTTAAAATTAGGGTTGTACAGTAATATAACTGAACAGAAATCATGGACAAGCTGTTGTGTGAAAAATTCTAAATGAAATAGTCACTGTATGGATACATTAGAATCCCCTCTACTTTCAAATCATAATCCTGCGGACAGATGCTTACATATGGATTTATACTTCTAGCTCACTCTAACTGTAATGAAACCACATTTTAAAGTGTATGTATCAGTAGCCCTTTGTAACTAACATTTCTTAGCATTGAATCAAAGCCTGATGGAACTACTTTAGAATACAAATATCAGGTATTTTCCACACAGAACAGTAGTTATAGTTCAGTGGAAATGTGATAAATTGCTATACTAAGTCACTGAAAAAAAATAAATAAATAAAAAAGCATCCCAATTGTACAAGTCCAGGCCATCAGAACTGGGAATCCAGATAGAGTACCAAGCACTTTTGAATTAATATAGGTTTTCTTAATAATTAATTTGGTACCAAAATGCTAACATAATTTGAGTCAATATATTTATTGTTTATATTAATAAATAATAAATTATTCCATCAATAATCAATCATGGGGCATAGGCCTAGGGCTGTATGTATCCCCTGAAAATCTTGGGTGTGGCTTTCAGAGGCCCTCCAAAAGTTGTCACCAGGTAGTGATTTCTACGTGAGAAGGGGAAGCTACATAGGAAGGAATATTACCTATATTGAATTATTTTGATTTAAAGGTGACTAAAATGAAGTGAAATTGAATTTCAGTTTCATCGTGGCTCCTACCCCTTTCTGAAGTACAAATCTAGTCATCCATTTGAAGGCTAACTAGAAAAGCTGTACATTTCTGACATAGGAAATTGTATCACGCTTCTGCAGCTATGTTACTTTAAACATCGCTATAAAATTAAGAATATTGGATTCCAGAAAGATTCTAGATTATTGTTCATTAAATATCTTCTTTTTGGAATATTTTTCTTTTCCAGGGCCACCCAGTGCCCCTGTAGAGGAACGTTCAGGAACACCTGACAGCATCACTTCTGGATCCTCTGCAGCCCATCCACCATGTGTTCAACCACAGCAACCATCATATGGAGGATCTCAGCCCCAAACTGGTCAAATGGATGGTAAGCAATCCATTCATCTTTATCCTGCTCTCAGTGAACATATTTGTCCTTCCATATCTCACAGTGCGATCTAGTTTATGGCATTTGCTCCTGCAGTTCCATACCACTTTTGGCTGTTTGCAGTTTTGTTTCTTTCTTAACTGCTCCTGGTCTTGCTTACTTCCCCAAATGTGTGCTTCAGCTTTAGATTTCTCCCAAACATTTATATCTTGTGATATTTGTGACTTGCCTCTTTGGCCTTTGTTTCCAAACCACATTTGCTCACATTCATTTCTGGTTATGTTTATCTTTAGCTACTGCTCCTTCCTTTGTTTTTTTTTTCATTGCCAAAATAGAATTCTATTCCTTGGAGTTGGGGATCTTTGTTTTGTACTACTCTAAAGTGCTATACATACTAACAGTTGTTTTTTGAGTTGCTTTAATTAATCAAATACAGGTAATATGCATAGTCTCAGATTTAAAAAGTTATTTTGATTATGTAAGCTAGCACTAGGTGGTGCTCTAATGCTGAGTCACAAGAAAGAGTTCTCTAAAATGGAAAGTTTAAAAGCTGTTTTGAAGGATTAGCACAGTGGCTTAAAAAATGAAGCACTATTATTAGAAGTACCTGTTATAAATACTGTCATTTTTAAAATTATCTGGTTCATCTAACAAACATTAGGCATATATGGTAGAAAATTCCAGTGTTGTTTTTGACCTAGCTGTATGCACAGAAACTGGCTTTCCAAAGCAGTGTGTGTTTATGTATTTTTTACTAGATGATGTTCTGTAGCCGTGAAATAACTTTATACAAATACAAGTATGTACATTTTCAAGAAAATAACTTGTATCTTTCACATTATAAACAATCATTTAAATAGAAAGCTTGCAAGATAAAGCAAGCACCAAGAAAATTTTCCTTTTCTTCTGCATGTCCCTAGGCTCTCATATGTGGCAAAACTATTTACTTTTCTATTTTATTACAATTATTTATATCCCACTTCTCAGGTTAACAGTCTTCCCAAAGCAAAATACATTTATAAATTGAAATGCAATAAATAGTTTTGCAAAAGAAACCAAAGGGTGTGGTGGCGGTTGTGGGTGTTGTTGCAGGCAGTTGGCAGTAATGGTCCTGTGGACTGAGAGAGAAGGAAGCGTACTCTGCTATTGATAAAGCAAAAGTCTTCTTCCAAAGTGTTTTGCCTGTTACAGATAACTAGCCTTCTCTCAAATATATTCTGATAACCTATATATGTATGTATGTTTTCCTTGGAAAGGATTGGAGGAGAAAATATAAACTACAGGTAGTCTCCAGTTTAAGAACAAGTTCTGTTTCCAAGGTCAAGTTCCTTAAGTTGGATTTGTATGTAAGCCAGAACAGTATTATTGTATAATACTATATAAGTAACATTGTGTAAAGAACTTGAACCATTGTGCATTTAACTCGACTTTTGCTACAGTAGGCTCTGTTTTTAACTATGGGTCATCTGTAACCAGGGTGTTCTTAACCTGGAGACTACCTGTATATTCTGGCTACTTCTGATAGAATCCTGTCCTTAGAAAATAATAAATTAGATTAAGTCATTCTGCATTTGTTTTTAAATTCTTATTTTAAGAGAGCAATGTATGAGACAGATAAGGCTAAGCAATTAATATTCTAAGCAAAATTTTTAAATTTTAAATTGGTAGGCCAAATATATCAACAGTATCCACAACAGGCTGGATATCCTTCTCAGCAGCCACAAGCTCAGCCTCCGCAACAATATGGTGTACAATATCAAGGTAAGCAGGT